ACTGCACGTCATCTCGGGTGGAGCCGATGCCGCGCCATGTCCCAGCGGTCCAATGGGATGGTATAGCAGTCGACTGAGAAGACTTCTTCGGCAATTCGTATGCCGACGTCGCGCGCGAGCCCTCGGCAGGCTACGCGGTCACCATTTGCGACCGTGACTCCAGCACCTGGGCATGGTTCAAAGTGGATGCCAACGCGTCGTGCGACGCTGCCGCTGATGAATGTGTGAGTAGAGCCCGAATCCAGCAATGCCACACACTGTACATTGCCCACCTGGACATAAACCTGTATAGTATCCTCAGTCCTGATGCCTGCAATGGCTGATAATGATATGGTGGGTTTGTCTGTCCCTGCGCTTGACGACTGTCGAGGGCCAGCCGGGCCCTTCGATGACACCACGTCTGCCGTACTCCACCCCGCCGCTACTACAATATGGCATGCCGGGGTATGGGAGTTTTCCAGCGTCACAGCCGGTCGTCTCGGAGATCCTGCCCTCGCCGTCAATGCCGGGGTCCACGGCGCCGCGCCTGGAGACCGCACCTCCTCGCGTCACCTCGGAGCCAGCTACGACGGGGCTGCCCATTCAGTCGATCCCTTTTCTGGCATCTCCATCACTGGTACCGTCGCTGTCCTCCATCATGCAAGGGCCGATCTACTCTTCTGCTACCAAATTGTTGTGACTTAGGGACCGGAGAGCGTAGGAGTGGGGGACAGGGGGCCTGGGCTTGGAACCCTGGCGATGGACTGGTGGTGCCGTGCTCGGCGGCTGGCTGGAGACGGCCGGAGAATCGGCGGCAATGGAGAGACCTTGAACAGTAACGCCCGAGGGCCCAAGGTGAGATAAACTCAATCTCAGGCTGATCCTTCTATTATAATTGTTTAGTACTTATACAAAGAGATCTCCAACCGACTCAAACCTAATTAAATCAAATAACAAACTCTAAGAGATAAACATCCTAAATTCTAGGACTTGATAACCAACAGGCCGGCTAGGCCGGACTCCTAGCCAACTGACCGACTAAGCCGGACTCCTAGCCCGTTGTCTACGCCTATAGACCTTAGCGTCATAACAATGACCCTTCATAAGAATGACGTACATTACATGCAGAAGAATGAAAAGGAGGCAAAATCAGAGGCAGACTGGCCGCTAGTTGACCAAGAACCGGGTCCTGGTAGTTTAGAACTTCAGATAGCTGACATCTTTGTATCTGATGCAAAGAACTACAGATGGTGACGGTTTAAACCATGGTTGGTGTTATGTTGTAATCAACCATCTGCCATCTGGTATCCATATATGTACAGAATTAATGGAATTCTCCTATACCAAAAAGAGGTCAGCAATTCAGCATCGTTCAGAACTACAAGAAGAGCACAAGACAACGAAAGAGTGGAACACACAGAACAAAAGAGGTTTGATTGCTAACGACTTCTACAGCAAAATGTTATAAAAACAATTGTATTCAATTGGTTTCGCCGAAAGGCATTGTAGTAAGCTCAGGAGCACAAACTACTGAAACTAGAGCTCCTCTCGTTCGTCAGTTCATCAGTTCGAACATACACATATCACCAAATTAAAACTGAATCTTGCAGTCGCAGTGGAATAGCAAGGGCAATAGAGGAGATTGGGTTGACCTGGAACTCTGAAAGACGAAACGGGTGGATCTGATGTTGGAGTCGGAGAAGAGGAACGTGCAGAAGCCGTCCGTGCAGACGACCGTTTCTTGCAGCTCGACGAGACGGCGACGGGTCCCGTCCCGCTCGCTCGCTCCGGCTGCTGCCTGCTGCTACTTCTTAGCCGGTGGCGCAGAGAGATGGGTTGAACTACTCGGATAGAGACGGCGGTGCGGGCGCGGGCGGTGGCGCGTGCGTGTGTGGGCCGGCCCAGCCGGCGGGGTTAAATCCCTTTTACCGAGTGCCCCCGATCTGGCACTCGACAAAGGGTTTTTTAAATTTTTTTAACCGTCTCTTTGCCGAGTGTCATCTGGCCTAGCACTCGGCAAAGAAGTTTTTTTTTAAAAAAAAAAATTTTGCCGAGTGTCTCAGATCTGGCACTCGGCAAAGTATTTTTTACCAAAAAAATACTTTGCCGAGTGCCCCTGACACGGCGCTCGGCAAAGATTCAATATATTTTTTGAAATATTTTTGCCGAGTGCCCACTGATTCGGCACTCGGCAAAGATAGGAATTTAAAAAATTACTTTTTTTTGAAACACCTTTGCCAAGTGCCCCTGTGAAGGCACTCGGCAAAGACCCCCTTTGCCGAGTGTTATGCTCCGGCACTCGGCAAAGTTTTTTTTTGTTTTTGGCCTCCAAATTTTTTGTGCAGCTCTTTTAAAGTACCAGGAACTCCTCGTTAGAATTTGGGGAATTTTTTTGTGGCTTTTTTATATATTTAGTTACTTTATTTCGTTTACTTGATTTTTTTCGAAAAATATAAATTTGAACTGCACGTGGTACGAATAATGCAATTTAATGATTCAAAAATGATAGTAATACTTGTTGAGACATGTATGAAATTACGACCCGAAATTTCGGAAGTCTTGTTCATGAAACGATGAACCGTGACATTTCGGATGTGTCTTGATATCGTATGTAGAGATGTCCGGTTTGTAAGCATCGTTGACGTGACAACGTATGCGGAAATCTTTAAAAATTTTTATCATAGCCTCCACACATCTCAACAAATTTCATGATTTTCGTATTTGTGCTTGTTTTTATAGAATTTAGAAAACACTTCGCACGTAAGTTCGTGGTCATGTTTATAAATAAGATGTCCAAAATTTCGGGTCCGCCGTTAGATACAAATTTCACACTACACACTCAAGAATATGACTATCATTTTTGAATCATTAAATTCCATTATTCGTATCTGACCTCGTGCAGTTCAAATTTATATTTTCAAAAAATTCAAGTAAACGTAAATAAAGTAACTAAATATATTAAAAAGCCACAAAAATCCCCAAATTCTAACGAGGAGTTCCCGGTACTTTAAAAGGGCTGCTGCACAAAAATTTGGAGGCCAAAAAAAAACTTTGCCGAAAGTGCCGGGCATGACACTCGACAGTATCTTTGCCGAGTGCCTTCACAGGGGCACTCGGCAAAGAGGATTTTTGATTTTTTTTAGAAATTTTCTCTTTGCCGAGTGTCTTCACAGGGGCACTCGGCAAAGGCATTTCAAAAAAAAAATATTGAATCTTTGCCGAGCGCCGTGTTAGGAGCACTCGACAAAGTATTTTTCAAAAAAAAATCTTTGTCGAGTGCCTAACAGCAGGCACTCGGCAAAGAAGGACGTGGCCAAACATCGTTACGCGGGGCAGCCTATGTTGAGTGCTGCGCTTTTGCCGAGAGCCTGGCACTCGGCAAAGAAGTCCTTTGCTGAGTGCCTTTTTTTTGCTGAGTGCCCGGCACTCGCCGAGTGCAATTCTTTGCCGAGTGCGGTACTCGGCAAATAAGATCTTTGTCGAGTGTCCGATTTTTGACACTCAGCAAAACAGTTTGCATTCGGCAAAGGCTTTGTTTCCAGTAGTGTCAGGGCTTCATACTTTCAGTTAAGCAGCACGTAATCGCCTTGACAAATCAAATCATACGCTAGCTGCACTCCTCGAGCTGCCTTATAAATTATTTATGTACTTCTCTGCCGCGGCACATCTTTCACATAGTACTTCGCTAACGTCCTAAAAAGAATAACAACACTTGTTTTAGTTTTCATAAACTTATATACTCCCTTACACTCCTGAAAAATAAGACCTGCATGTATTTTAGAATTCAGATTTTGTTATCTTTAACTAACAATTAGCCTGATCGTATGAAAAATGTATAGTACAAAATTAGTTACATTAGATTTGTATTTAGAAATATTTTTTAATGACCAAAATTTTATTCCTATAAATTATATATTGTAAGGGAAACTATAGATCAAAATATGTTGTTGAAGATCACACCAAGTCAAATCATGCTTTATATTTTGAGACATGAGTAATTCGAGTTTTACACAATGAGATCTTTTCCAATATAATGTAATAACAGGAAAACAGTCTACACGACGAGGTTAGAATCTAAATCCGAATTAACATAATCAACATTTTAAAAGAGGGATGGCATGTGCCTTTTTCAGAAGAAATAACAAATTTCTACCCTCTACATATACATGAGTTGTGCACTCAACTCTGTCTATTCCTACAAGTTCCAGCCATGTGCAACATCAAAATAGAACTAGAGAAAACAACAGTTCAAAGAAAACTAAAGGCAAATATCTAAGTTCCAAGCAGATTAATATACATCCACCTAAAAAGTGAAATAATGTTTGAAAGTCATCATCTTGCCCTTATATATGAGTCAGAGTCATAAAGAGTGATAGCCACCATACATCCTAAAAAGCATAACCTATCCACCCTAAATCTAGGAGAGAGAAGCCACCACCAACAAAACATACCTACCAACTTAAGTGCTCAACAAATAGTTTAACCTATAATAAATCAGCTTATATAATTTAGGTCCATTAGCTTATATATCATGCTACCGTAGAGTAGCATAATTGTTATTTCATTATTTTATTCTGTATATATAAATTTTGGATTATATATATAAGCACGGGGTACATAAATAAACCCCTAAAAGTAACTCGAAGAGACTCTCTATACCCTAATTGTTAGGAATGGAGATTTAGAGGAAAAGTACCCTCCAATAGCTTCATTAACTGACTATCCAAATATAACCATTCTTTATTTCAGATTTCTCGCTAGTAAAAAATAGATGGCGAAAATAACTCTCTAGATTATGTACAACATATAGAAAATACATTGGATATTGGAAAGATATAGAAAGCGATTTTTGTGCATATAACTCTCTAAATATTAATTTAGAGAGTAAGTTTTGGAAAAGCTCTCGATGATGCTCTTAAGTATGAAGTACTAGCGAACATTTCCTCTGTAAAGGAGCAATAACAAATTAATTGTGGTATAGCTGTTCCAGAGGACCCATCCTGGGTTTTGCACGTATTCGTTCACCTCCACTGTATTATGCATAAACATAGCGAAACTACAAGCCAATTGTCATGTCACGATTGGGCCTTCGATTACCATGATGATTGATGGCGTGGGCGCGTGGCTGTTGTTCCCATCCTGAGCTCAAGAACCGGTCTTGTCGGCGACATGAAAATTTTAAGCTCCGGTCCATTCTTGGCTTGGTAGCCCGAGAAAAGGTAGACCAAACTTTTTGTTTGTGCCCCATGACTCCATGAGGCCATGCCCCTATCTTCCTGGAAAGCAACCTTTTTGCAGCTCCCATTGTCATGCTACCAAGTCAGTGCTCTATTTCTTCGTCCCCAGCCCCATCCTACTATCATGACACACCACCCCGAGCATGCAAATTTCTACAAGTTGCTTGTCCTATGAGTGACCTAAACCAAACGCGCAATAATACTTTCGAATTTTAAAAGGTAAAGGTGAGAATTTAGGAATGCAACACAGAACTCGAGGCAGCATTTTTTTTTTATTTCACAAACGAAGGGCCTTGGCGCTTTGCTCAACGGGACCTGGATGGCTTGATTGATGATGATGAACCAGTTGAGTTGTTGAATGGTGGAAACAAATGGAAGTGGCAAATATTGCCATAGGTGATAGTGATGATACTGGTACAATAAGAGCCATGAAAGAACGAGAAAATGTTGAAAAAACAAAGAGAACAAATGTAATAAGGAGCTCGACGATCTCGGTCTATCCACACGACGACGCGGCGCGGCGCTCTTCTCCTTGGAAATGGAGAGGTCCTCCAGCCACTCGAGAATCCTGCTGCTCCAAGCAGTGCCCTTTCCACTCTGCGTCGCCGTCGCCGACGCCGCTCTCTTCTTCTCTTCCGCTTTCTTCCTCCTCCGCCTCGCCTCTGCCGCCGCCACCTCCGCTGAGCCCACCGGCGCGACGGCGTCAGGGGAGCACGAGCACACCAGGCCGGCCCCCAGCAGCCCCAGCGCAAGCTTCTTGTCCGCGGGCGCCGACTCGAACCTCGCGCTCCGGCTCCCGCTCCTCGGCGCGGCCGGTTTCCTGTACTCGGCCGGGCGTGGCACGTACAACACCTCGGGAGCGCCGACGACGCCGAGGCGTATGACGCCCCACGACGCCGGCGGCGCGGACCCGGTGCTGCGGCGCGCTGCCGCCGCGGGCGCGGATGTCCGGCTCCGGCCGCGCTGAGGCGGGCGCGGCGATGGGCTCGGGTGCGCGTAGTAGAACACGCTGCCCGACAGAGAGCGCCGCGGCGGGACGGCGGCGTCGGCGGAGGAGGACGCGCTCTGCTTGCTGGACGACGAGCTGCCGCCGGGGCCGGCGTTGTCCGAGGACGACGCGCTGTTGGACGACGTGCTCCGGCTGACGCAGCTGCTGCTGCTGCGGCTGACGGAGCGGGAGCTGAAGCCGCTGCTGCTGGTGGCCGTCGTTGTCGCGGCGCCGTCCAGCGAGTCCGAGCGCAGCAGCAGCAGTGCTGCGGACGCCGCGTCCGCCGAGGAGAGGCGGAGCGGGAGGAGCTTGCCGCCGGAGAAGACCTCGCCGGACGAGAGTATACAGAACTCGAAGTCGTCGGCGGGCTGATCTTCCGCACCTTCCTGGCACGCCATGGATGGCTTCTTGCTGTCTTGGTTTGAAGGGGGGAGAGAGCAAGAGATGGGTTGTGTTTGCTTGTGCATTTGAGTTTCTTGCTCGGGCAAAGCGAGAGCGAGAGAAGAAGCGAGGGAGAAGGAGGCGTGTTGCTCGGCTCTACTATGCAATGCTCACTATTTATACGTGTTTGTTGGAAAATTGTATTAAATACCTGTACTAAGCCATAGGTGGTGAAGGAGACAAGAATGCGTCATAGAAACCTAACCTGTAAATAGATCAATCTTGTAACCAAAACGACCCTCACTTTTATGTCACATCTGAAGAAGATTTTTTTTGTGTCTAAGCACCTTCTAGATAAACGCGTAATTTTGCTAAATCGAATAATTATATCTAGAAATCTAGGAACACAAGACCATGTTATTTTTCCTTTTTGGTGAATTGCACAAATTAAGATCCAGTATTTGTTTATTTCCACCTTCACATATTCTATCTTTCTCAACTTGATCTTCCGCTTCAACACTACTCAAGGTTCCATTTTGAAAAAAAATCTTCCTATTACTAGCTAGACTGCTACACAGCATGGAAAAATTCCCAGAAGAGTTTTATTTGCGCAAACCACAAACTAGGCGTATTGCATTTTTTAAATAAAAAATGTAGTAATATAATAATGGTTACCTATTATGATAGAGCTGGAAGAGAAATAGAGACCAGCAGCTTGATAAGGAAACGTGTTTAGTTTCCTTTTTATTGTCTTTCCTTAATCCTTTATTGCTGCACATGGCAGTAGAGAACTACCTCTCCTTTTTTTTTAAAAAAAAAAAGATCAACATCAAGGAAAACAGCATACCATAAGAAGACGTCGTCTTTATGAATTGCGTATCAGCCGCGTAACATGTCAGCATCTGGATTACGTACGTGGTGGCCTTCTAGAACGGGCACAGGCTGATTACTTACTGAGTGTTACATCGGGGCAGCGCGAGAAATCCAAGAAATTTCAACTGTTTTGACTCCTATCTCGTCTTTTGGTTATTAGCAAATAATAAACCGAAGGAAACTAGGAATCTCAGAACCATTCTGCACGATTATTCCCTCGAAAATATTCCATTGCGGATATATATTCTATCAGCAATGATGAATTTAACAACGTACTTTGAATGAACTTTTGTTAGAATGAGCGAATGTTTAATTTGGCAGCATATGTATATCTATCTTGACCAGATTCTCGAGGAGCCAAGCCATGAAGAAACAATCGGTAACCAGGATTGATGAACTGCAGCTGCAGATGGATGGAAGCAAAGCAAACATGTGGCATTATTATGCGACAGAGATTACAGGAATCCAGTGGGCTTACCGAGAGATCCCCCCCCCCAGACTGTAATCATGCCCACACAATGATCAATGTTATTGCGGCCATTTGGAACAATCATGCTCAGTTTGTACCAGCAGGACACAATCGGCCTATTCGGCTGGTATTAAAGCCGGCTGAAGCTATTTTATTGTAAGAGAAAAATACTGTTGATTCTAACTGATAAACCGGCTACGGGTCAATTCGTGCCCGATTTTGAATCTGCTAATCAAATAGTTTAAGGTGTACGATGTACCCCTGGAAGCACATTTGTCGATATGCCTTGCAGTTTCGCAGTTAATTAGATCATGACAAGAATAAACCAATCCGAGGAGTCTAAGGCGACACGGCAAATAAGATTTGAGACAGCTAGCTTTAAACTGACTCCATCGAACCAGTGGATGTTTGTTCTGCAGCAAATGCAACTTGAATTTTATTTTAGGGTTTGTTGAGGACTAAAGCTGGAGCCGCCAATCCACTTTGTGACTTTGTCCTTTCTCCAATCATTGATCGAGTTACTAGCGGACAAACGACACGCAGGACGGCATGTGTTACTGGAATACACTGTATGCCGGGGTCGGAGGCCACGGGGATGCGCCAAGTAGCACGACGGAGGGCCGGTCCGTGGCAGAGGCGGCATCGGTGGCCCAGATGGGGCTCGGACATCCTATCGATGTCCGAGCACAGCAGCAACCAAGGAGGGGTCCTCCGAGGGCAGCTGCTATAGAAGTTGAACAGATTGTTCGGGAGCCCGCTCAGCCCCCTCAAGTCCTCCGCACAGTCATTCGGCGTGGCAACGAATTCGACATGCTAGAGGAGGAGGAGGCGAGTGTGGAAATGAATGGGTTGAGAGCCGACCTATCGGTGATGGTTGGCTGAATTGAGGTAAGACTGAGGTAATTGTGTGTTGCGTCTATTGCCGAGTGCGGTTCGTGATCATTTGTTGCTGCAGAACATAATGAAGATATCTGAGCGGCGCCGGCGGCAATTGGAAGAAATGACGCCAGTGCTAGAGGAGAACAAGAGCCTGCAGGCATCAGTGACCGACCTCTAGGTGTGTCTTCTACAAGAGCACCGCCGTAGGGAGGACCTGGAAGTAAAGGTCCTGGCGTTGGAGAAGGATCGCCAGCTGCTAGAGGCGGAAAACCACTCGCTGGCCGAGCAGTGTAGCCGCAGCGCTGACCAGTAGAAAGGCATGTCTGGTGGACCTTGCTCTGTTAGTAATCAGCATTGTAAGACGTCTGCCTGGATGTGCAGCCCGGGAGATGGAGCTCGGACTCTCTCGCGAGACCGTCGGCCAGCTCCTTAAAGGTAAGGAGGAAGCGGAGGAGAAAGCCGACAAGGTCACTGCGGATCTTGAACATAAGTGCATCATCTTGTTGTGTCAGTTTTCGCAGCGTTAGGAGCATGCTTAGCATACAGCTGCTCGTATGTTGCAGAATATCGTTATTAGGCACAGGTGCAGTTCAAGGTCTTCGGGGACCAAGTCAAGGCCCATGATGATAAGCTAGAAGCGATGATAGCTGGGATCAAGCCGTGCTGGACTGCATTGGTTTCGCGCTGCCCGAAGGGACGCCGCCCCGGACAACCGTGGACCGGTGTCAGACAGTGTGGTCGGACTTCAAGGAGTTCACGCGTAGTGCTGCCCATGGGGCTGTCGTCCATGCGCTTGCGGTATTGCGGTCGCACTATCATTCGGTAAAACCTGAAGTGATAATGACTGGCTACGGCCGAGGAACGGACACACAGAAGATCGCCAAGCTGGAAGACGAGGCCGAAGAAGCAGTGGCGAGGCTTGCCAGGGACGTCGACCTGTTCAGCGAGTGACAAGGCAGTGTCTAGTAGATTAGGATAAATTTTGTGTTTAAATGTTGTGTAAAACTACTTAGCAGCTTTTGGTGAACACTTAGTGTTATGGTGGGTTTTGTGTTTATATTTAATATGAACCATCCGAGCAGTATGTGTGTAGCTGAGCTTCCAGCCTTAGCTAGCCCGTTATCCATAACGCAGAGCACAGAGCGTCGCCAAGGAGCCGCTGTCGGCCACCCATAACGCAGATGCAGACGCTCGTGCACATGTAGGGAGAAGCCGGAGATAGGGCCATCTTTGGAAACATCCGAGCGTCAACATGACTGTTCGGGGATTTGCCTTAGGCTTAGTCGTATGTCATCTTTAAGATGGTATACATGAAGAAAGATCGTTTAGCGAGTAATTGTAGGGAAAACAAAATGAAGAAACATCAGGGAAAAAAGACTTTATTAAATACTTGAATATGAAAGGTACATATCTTTGAATGGAACGTTTCAAGGGTAGAAACGCCTAAGGAGATCAATATGCTAGGAGTTTAGGACGTCTCTTTCATCCATGTCGCATAGTCTGTAGGACCCTGGTCGGGTGACCGCCTTGACAATGAAGGGGCCCTCCCAAGGTGAACAGAGCTTGTGCATCCTGTCCGTCTTCTGCTTCCTGCAGAGTACTAAGCCTCCAACCACAAAGAATCGATTGTTGACATTACGGTTGTAGTATCTTCATAAGTCGTCGAGGTATTTTGCTGTCCGAACATAGGTGACTAGACGTTCCTCTTCTAAGCTGTCAACTTTGACAAGTCAAGCTTGGTTAGAGTTCTCCTCGTTGTAATTCTCCACCCTGGGTGCTCTGAAGGTGATGTCGGTAGGCAATATGGCCTTAGAGCCAAAAACCATGAAGTATGGGGAGACGCCGGTGTTATGACTGGGCTAGGTCCTTAGTCCCTAGACCATTACTGGTAGTTCCTTGAGTCATTTGCCTGGGTGTTTCTGTTCCTTCTCGTAGAGCCGCTTCTTCAACGCGTCTAGGATCATACCGTTGGCGCGCTTGACTTGGGCATTGGCCCTTGGGTGTGCCACAGAGACATACTTAACTGAGATGCATCTTTCATCGTAGAAATCCCAGAAGTCGCTGCCAGTGAATGTGGAACCTAGGTCGGTGATGATGCTATTCGGGAGGCCGAACCGATGAATAATGTCATCGAGCAGCTTAGCTGCCTTCTTTGCTGTAGCTTGGACCAGGGGTTTATACTCGATCCACTTGGAAAATTTGTCGATGTAGACGTAGACCCAGCGGAATCCTCCTGGCATAGGCTTGAACGGCCCGATCAAATCTAGTCCCCAGCATGCAAAGGGCCAAGATGCATGAATTGTTTGTAAGTCCTGGGCCAGGACATGGATTTGCTTAGCAAAAAACTGACAGTTCTCACACTGGCAAACGAGTGCCTCCGCATCGGCGACCGCTGAAGGCCAATAGAAACCAGCTCGGAAGGCTTTGCCGACTAGTGTTCTAGAGGCTGCATGGTTGCACAAGTGTCGGCGTGGATCTCCTTGAGTATCTTCTCGCCCTCTTCCACGGATATGCACTTCTGGAGTAGCTCCTCCTCGGCATTCTTGCGATATAACTTTCCTTCAACTAGAACGTAATGCTTACTGCAGCGGGTGAGGCATTCTCTCTCTATGTTGTTAGCTGAAACATCTGTAGTGGTGAGGTATTTGATGAAGGGTTCCCTCCAATCACTGCTCGGCCTAGGGACCGCTGCGACTAACTGCTCGGCAGGTGACTATTCTTCAACGCCTTCTTGCCCCTGCTTGATAGATGGCGTCACCAGGTCCTAGACGAACACTCCGACTAGAACTTCGGCCT